CAAGGCACGAATTTAGCCACTAGGCTATCACACCAGGTCCTAAACTTACTCTTTAATTTCATTTTCCCTGAATCTTGTGAAATACCTTTCTATTACCTTTCTATTATCAGGAGAAGGTTTTCTTTTTATGTCATTTCTCTATCTTCTGAAATAATCATAGTTCAGTACCTATCTGTTCCCTTAAATATAAGCAGTCCTGACATTCTGAACTCGTATCACTGTCTTGGAGTTATTCTATAGCTAACTGCTCCTGGATTGTGTATCTGAGTACCTTTGAGATCTGTGTGATGACTTCCTAGTCCATCATGAAATTATTCATAACAGCCTAATTTCAGTATTTTCTCCATTTCCATTCTAATTGACCTCCTTACTTATACTCACTTGCATGATGTCATGCCATCCTGTTTACAGTTTGATTATGTGTTTGTGTAACTTAGTACTACACTAGAAGTTTCAATACCAAAGGAGGTATACTTGAACCTGCTGCTGTTTCTCTCGGGATGGCATTCTGATAAACAACCTTTTGCCCCAAATGGGCTCATTAATAGGCAGAATCCATATTGAGAGGCTGCAAGGGATACATATGTGGTTGTGTGACTGCTGCTGACCTCAGATACTTTAAAAGAAATCATCTCCTGCAAGGAATATTTTAAGAAGTTCACAGAAAAAAAAATGAGTTAAAAGGTAAGTTTATTTTGATGCAAAATATTTTCAAATCCATGCATAAAGTATTTAAAACTCACATTTTCTACACACTTTTGAAGCTGTCTGTTATAATCCTAGAAATCTCTTCTATTTATGCTTTGAGGCATCTGTTGATAGGATTCTTGCCAGTTTGGGTATAGTTTAGTGCTATGAACTTTATAGCCATCAGCAGTTTCACTGACACAAACACTTAAGGAAAGAGGCAGACTGCCTAATGCACACAAAGATGGAATTAGTCTGTGGTTTTAATTGGCATTTCTGATAGCTAGTGATGTTGAGTCCTGTATTTGTTGCCATTTGTATTTATTTTGAAAAATGTCTCTTCAGATCCTCTACCAACTTTTTACTTGGGTTGTTTGTTTTTGTTGTTGTTGAGTTTTTTGAATTGCTGATATAATTTGAATATTAACCCTTTGTCAGTGAAATAGTTCATAAACATCTTTCTCCCAGTCTCCTGATATCTGTTTACTCTTGCTTGTTTCCTTTGCAGTACAGAACCATCCAGCATTTCCTAGGATGAGTTCCCCTTGATCATGTAAATGATCTTTTTGCTGTGCTGTTGGATTCAGTTTGCTAGTATTTTCTTGAGAATGTTTGCATCTGTGTTCTTCAGGGAGACTGCTCTGTAGTCTTCTTTTTGTCTTGTGTTCTTATCTGGTTTTGGAATCAAGATTATGCTGGCCTCATGGAGTATTCTGAAATAGTTTAAGAAGAATTGGTGTTGGGTGGGTCTCAGGACGGGGCGTCTCATGCCTAAATCCCAGACGACAGCCACCATGTGCACGTGGTGAGCTGTCCCCAGGTGGCCAGTGCGCCATTTTGTGCCAGGCTCTGCCTGCTGGCCACCCGGCCGGGGAGCTCTGGGATTTAGGTTCTTTGCGTCGCTGCTTAATTAGCTCCAGGTTGAACCCATTGTGCTTCTAGGACCTGAAACATTCGTAAAGATTCCCACTGGCAGTAACTCTTCCTTTGTAAAACTTGTAATCGCTGAACAATGCAACCACCAAATACCAGTCCATGCAGAAGCTATGGCTTGGGGCTTGTCCTGCAAAAATAGCTCCAACAGCTGGCTAATGTGTCAACTGGTAATGGAACAGAGTAGATCAGGCAGGACTGAGCAAACCTTAGCCCACAAGCAAAACTAGAAACCAGGAGGGAGCACAGGTCATGCCGAGCTAGGCTCTTGCACCTACTGGTCCACATTACCCAGGGACGCTAAGCCACAGTGTCTAAGGCAGAGGTCGGGACAGGTGAGGGGCTGAACCAAGCTGAGTCAGAGCAACCACTGGCATGTGAGTGAACTATGGCTGGGAACAGGCCTGGTTGGGGAGCTAAGGGGACAACCCTAGCTGGGTTGAGGTTCCTGCCAAGGGGCGTGTGACCTGGAATGGGGCCTGCATTCTCCCATCCAAGTACTCACCAGGCCCGACCCTGCTTAGCTTCCGAGATCAGACGAGATCGGGCGCATTCAGGGTGGTATGACCATAGACAGGGGCTGCATTCTGATCTGGAAACGGTTGTAGTCTCCCTTGGCACAAGTGTGGACTGGGATTAGATGCACCGAACCGGGCCAGACCCCAACACCCCCTGGTGTCCTGGAGGCCCAGGGCAGATGTGCGATGGACTAGGCAAGGTCTCAAACCCTTACTGAGCCATGTGTAACCCATATGTGGGTATGGACAAACCATGGCTGGGCTGAAACATCCAACAGCAAGAACCAGATTGGGTTGAAGGCCAGTCAGGAAAATCCACAGTTCCTGCTATGACAGGAGGTGGACTGAGTAGGGCTGGCTTATGGACCCACTGGTAAGCATGAAACCTGGCATTGGGAGAGGTTCTGATGGAGGAGCCTGGGCAACTCCTCTGGCAGGACACAGACCCGGCAGGTAAGCGCAAGAAACATGATAGGACACAGCCCAGAAGAGGCCATGGAAAGTTACCCACTGGCATACAATTGGCAGGGGTTGCGGGGGAAGACCAGGCTGAATCTGTCCATGTCATCCACTGGCAAATCCAAGCACCAGTGTGGGTCAAGCCAGGTTCGGTCGCAACAATGATTAGTGCACAATACAGAATGCCAAGGTGAGGTTGCCTGTACTGGAAGGGACCGCAGCGCCCAACCAGCGTGAGAACAAGGAAGGGAGGGGGCAGAGCCGGCAGGGGAATAAGGGAGGGATCCTTTACAGGACAGCTACTCCTGCAGGAGAGCATAGGCTGGGATGGGGGCAGACCAGACTAGGCAGGGCTACCACACCTGTGCGCCTCATGTGGACTAGATCAGGGAAAAGCCAGGCTGGGCGGATTATTCCTACTGGTGCAAACAAAATTAGAGTGGGCGAGGGTTGTTTGGGCTTAGACACAGCATCAGCTGGAATCTGGGAGTGGGAGAGGCCTGGTGGGGAAATAGTGGGCTCATCCCTCTTGGGTTACCACTTCCACGGGAGGACATAAAACTAAGACAGTGGCTGGGTTGGAATGGGGTGTGGGACAGACTGGATTACTGCTACACATACTGGCAATCCAGGGTAGGGGGCGGGCCTGGTGGGGGTTATTGCGGGTCACTCCAACTAGGCTGCAGCTCCCACTGGTTTATGTGAGGGCCAAGTATGTGCTGGGCAGAACCAGGCTGGACTGCAACACCCATTGGTTCCAGTGGAAGTCGAGAGTGAAAACAGAACCAACCCAGCAATTACAACCACCAGCTGATCAGGGCGATGGACTGTGCCGGGCCCTGTACTTGCTAGCACATACAAGAAGTTTCTTTGGAGATCTTCCTAATCTAAATGCTGGACTCAGAACCCCAACCAAGAAAAGAGAGAAGACAGAACAGGTCAACCAACCATCTCAGCTATGATGGACTGTGTCAGTCAGTGGATTTTTCAAAGACCTCATAGTGCTTGGAGTGGCAAGATTGGCAGCGATTCATAACTGTTGAAATATCAAAACCACTTGAGCAAGAACCTCAGAGCATGCCCTACATCCGGGACCTGGGGAGGGTGGGAAACTGGGTGGGCCTTCTCCCTTAATACCCCCCTTTAAACATGAAGGAAACAATATGGAAAAATACTAGTCTTATCCACTTTCCTGTAGCCCTTGAACCTTTTTACCCTAATCAACTATGTAAAGATTGTCAAAATAAAAAAAAAAAAAAAGAAGAAGAATTGGTGTTAGTACTGACTTTATTTTGGCCCAATTCCCATACAGATAGGACACATTTTACTACTGATTCAATTTCATTACTTTTTACTGATCTTTTCAGGTTTTCTATGTATTCAATCTTGGTAAGTTATATATGTTCAGGAATTTATCCATTTCTCCAGCTTTTCCCATTTGTTGGTGCATTCTTGTTTATAATTGTCTCTAACAACTGTATTTTAGGGGCTACAGACATGATGGCTAACTCTCTGCCTACAAGTGCCAGTATGTATTGGCATGCCATATGTGCACGGGTTCATGTCACTACTGTTCCACCTCTAATCTTCCTGCTTATCATCTGGGTAAACAGTGGAGGATGATCCAAAGCCTTGGGACTCGGCACGTGTGTGAAAGACCTGGAAGAGGCTTCTGGCTTCAGATGGGCTCAGCTCCAGCTGTTGAGGCCATTTAGGGATGGAAGATCTTTCTCTCTGTTTCTCCTTCTCTCTGTAAATCTGCCTTTTCAATAAAAATAAATCTTTTAAAAAATAACTTTGTGGTTAACAGTTGCAATATTTCCTTTTTAACCTATCATTTTATTTGAGTCTTCTCTGATTTTCTTGGTTAGTCTAACTAGAGATTTGTGGATTTTGCTTATGTTCCGTAAATTTTTAAGTATCATCATATGTTGAAATCATAGAATGTTTTCTTACCACCACCAAATTAAATTAGCAGTGATCAAAAAAGAGGCATCAAAAGAAAATAGCTGGAGTAGATATTGTGGTACAGCATGTTAAGTAGACATTTGGGATCCTACACTCTATATTGACGTGTCTGGATTGAACCCAGGAGATACATAGAGATAGTTCCTGGCTGCTCACTTCTCTCTCTCTCCCCCTCTCTCTCTCTCTCTCTCCCTCCTTCTCCATCCCTCTCTCTCCTCCTCCTATCCCTCTTCCTGTATCCTTTGTCTCTGTCACTCTTCCAAATAAATGCTTTAAAAAACAAATCTGACTAGATGCATATATTCTATATATGGCATCCATTATATATGATCAGATATATAATAGAACTATTGTAAGATGTATTATGATAAAAAATCTTATTTTATCCCTCAGTGCTGATGACAGTGTCTTGAAACAGGATTGTCTTGTTAACAGGTGTCTTTTGAGGATGTTACTGTGGACTTCAGCAAGGAGGAGTGGCAGCAGCTGGACTTTACTCAAAGGAGCCTGTACCAGGATGTGATGCTGGAGAACTACAGCCACCTGATCTCAGTGGGTAAGGACTGCTGGCATGTAAATCCAGTAGGAGCCTGTTGCGGGTTCAACGGTGCCTCTCAAGTGAAATGTGTTGAAGTTCTCTCCCTTGGCACCATGTTCAGTGATAGAGTTTTTGCAGAATTCATAAAACTAAAATTAGCTCATCAAGGTAGGCTTTACATCAGCATAACTCATGTCCTTATCAAAAAGAGAAACCTGGTCACAGAGACACACCCAGGGAAAAACAGTGCAAACACTGGCAGAGGGAAGATGGCTTGTCATGGTAACAGTACGTCTGGAAGCAAAGACACGCCTAAGGCCACCTGCAACTAGGAGAGACGTGGGAAACTACTTCTTTAGCACTTGGGAAGAGGGCATGGCTGATCATACCTTCATACATTTCATTTTGGCATCCGGAACTATGCGCCGGTAAATTGCTGTTGAGTTGAGCCCTTCTGCTTGTGGCGCTTTGTCCCCATAGTCCTAGGAAACAAATCAGGATGCTTACACTTAGAAAGGAAATGTTGCTGTAATAACTACCTCAAAACTGTGAAAATGGTATTTGATTGGGTAATGAACAGAGGCTGGAGATGTCTTGAAGCACTTAACCAGAAAAGCCTAGCGTACATTGAAGGAACTCTTGGTAGAAATGTGAATGTTAAAATTACTTTTGATGAGGCCTCAGATGGAACAGAGTAATATGTGATTACAAACTAGAGGAAAAATAGTTCTTGATATGAAGTGCCAGGTCACTTGGAGGGTGAACTGAGTTCTTTGTGTGAAACATAGAACTTGGAAGTAATCAGCTTGAATAGTTAGCTGAAGAGAATTCTAAGCAAAGTGTTGAAAGCATAGTCTAGCTTCCCCTTGCTGCTTATATTAAGATATGGAAAAAGAAAAGAGGCATATTGAAAAAGGAATTATTAGGAAAAAACATGCCAGAAGATTTGAAAGAGTTCCCTCTTGCCCACATTGCAAATGTTAAGAAAATCTATTGTGGAAAGAAACCAGAATTGTACAGCCAATTACTAAAGTGATTCTATATGCAACTTCTGGATCTAATCAACAGTCAGTAGAAATGCTGTCGGCATGTGCTAAATGGACCAGCGATGGGAGAAAATGAAGGAAGACTGTAACCTCGGATTCCTCAGGCAGGAGAGGGATGGAAAAGCCACTTGGCCCTGAACATGTGTTATCCTTTAAGAAAATGGAAGAATGACTTCAGTGATGGTTCAGAAGCCAGTGTCACTGCAGCTGCCACTATAGTCCCCAAGGGTACAGACCGCAGAATTTGGGAGATCCTCTGCTTTGTTTCAAGGGCAGATCCATCTCCTTGTTTCCAGGACTAAAGGGCTAAGATAATCACCTTGGACCAAGGGTATAGAGTTGCCATCTCTCACCTGAATTCACATCTTCTGACAATTTCACACACTCTTGAACTCTGTCGTCAAAAATCTCTTCTACTTTTCTCTTCAAGGTAATTCTTAAATTCCAACTTTTCACCAGCATTTGGCCTCAGTTGGGGTTCATCACCCATTGTGGGCTGCATTCCCAAGCAGCATGACGAGCAATACCCAGGTGTGGTGCTCTAAGGGCTGCTACTGGCCTGCACCATCCACAAGCCTCAGACAGAAGAACCTGGCTCCCCTACGTGCAGCACAACAGAATCGGTCTTCTACATGCTGTGTTTCCAGCACCCAGCTCTGGGACAGGGATTCAGCACTGTATTCTTCCATGTTCATTTGCTATTACTGAGGGAATCCTTGTGAAGTTCCTTCCCTTCCGTTAACTAACGCTCACATTCAGTGAGTGAGTAAATGCAGGCCCGATAGCAAACCCAAAAAGTGTTTCTTAAAAGAAGGGATATTGTCTACAAAGGATAGCAGAGCTATGCTCCAGAATCCTAAGGGTCTGTGCTGTGTTTCACATATAGGGGTCTGCCAGAGGCTCCAAATGCTCAGTCCACCATTGTCACTTCAAGTACCATTGGATCCGCTGGGACTTACAGCCAACTTGACAGGATATCTTGCGTGGCAGCCTGTTTCTGTTAAGGATGCCTCTCTTATGGGGCCCCACAGAAAACTAGTCATTTTTTGGATCACTGAGTAAATGGACCAGGTGAACAATGTGTTGCCTTCAAAATCCAAAGAGGTTCAGTAGGTATTATCCCTCTTTTATTTTTTTGCTTGTTAGAAGGAACCAGATGCAAAATTTTATCCTTCACCTGAGAGAGGATAGCTCCACATGCCTGCACCACTGGACCCCTCAACACTTTTCAAGAGACAGAAGGTCCTCAGATTTTTGTCAGATCCATTTCCCACCCTCTGAAACATGAATGTCTGACCTGTAAGTATAGAGTAGTTTCTATTTCTTGCTCATTAGATTCAATCAGCATATTATTGATATAATAGACCAATATGTCCTGTGGAAGAAAAGGTTAAAGTACTTCAGGGTAAATTATAACACATGACCATACACTGTACCCCTGAGATTGGACAGGCATACTATATTCCTAGCCCTGTTGGCTGAAAGAAAATGCTTATAATGCTGTTTGCTAAAAGATCACCTTTTAAAAGGCATTATCCCGATCAATAGTTACATACTGAGTACCAGGGAATATGTTGATTTACTCAAACAATGAAACCACACCCAGAAGAGCAGGTACAATTGTAGATACCACCTGATTCAGTTTGAGATAATTCATTGTCATTTTCCAAGATCCATCTGTTTTCTACACAGGCCAAATAGACAAGTTGAATGGGGACATGGTGGAAATTCCCATCTCTGCCTCCTTCAAGCTCCTGGTAGTAACACGAAACTCTACAAGCCCTTCAGGAATATGAGATTGTTGTTTTATTCACTGTTTCCTAGGTGGATGTGGTTCTAGTGGCTTCTAGTTGGCCTTTCTCACTCACATATCAAGAAGGCAGTGTGAGGATTCCGAGTCTTTTTTAGATCTGTTACAAACACCGTGATCCTGCTGACATCTTGATTCTGCACTTCTAGACTCAAGAGATGGGAGAGGATAAATTCCACTAAGTTTTTAGTGCTTTGTTATGGCTGCCCTAGGAAATAACACAGAGCCTCAGAGAGGTCATTTCCTTTCTCACCCACTGAGTGCTTTGGGACATCTGAGGTGTGTAATGGCATCATTCTGGATCCCTTAGATTCTCCAGTCCCTTTTCACCTCTGTGATGCTTATCCCATTCCTCAGAGAAATGTGGTTATTTTTCTGAAGAACAAGTACAAGTGAGCTGGACCCAATCTTGTCTCCTGTTCTGCTCACAGGGTACCAAGTTCCCAAGCCAGAGGTCATCTTCAAGTTGGAACAAGGAGAGGAGCCATGGATGCTGGAGAGGGAAATGCCACATCAGAGCTGTCCAGGTGAGTCAGTAGACAAATGACAAACATGGAAGTAATTTTGTTTTTTCTTATTAAGGGTAATAAACCTCAGAAATCGCTTGGGGATAAATTAGCCTCCCGGTTGCCAAACTGTTTTTCCTTGTTTACCTTATAGTTATAAACTGTGTTTCTGGCTTTTCTCTGGGAAAACCACCCGTTTGCATCTTCTGGATCCTATATCAGACTTCCTCACTATGAGTCTTGCTTTCTTGGATATTCTCTTTCCATCACAATTTTATGCTCTATTACTTAGACCACACCCCTAAAGTCTTTTTTTTTTTTTATAAGATTGTTTTGGCATATCCTTTCAATTGGGAATGCAACAGACTTACTTGAGGCATTTCAAGCAGTGAAAATTAGAATATAAGGCTACAGGAAATTAAAAACAAGAAAAAATAGCAAAAAAAAAAAAAAAAAAAAAAAACCACCCCACAAAACAGACAAACAAAAAAAAGCCTATAGGAGCAGCTGTCTTTTTCCTAGACTGATTCTTTATCCATGTGCGGTTGGTGGAATCTTTGGGCCCAAGAGAGGTGTAGAATACAGAAAAGCTTTTCTCGAGGAGGCAGACTTCACAGGGAGCACCGGCACTAGCGATCGCAGTCTTGTCTGATGCAGCTGAGGCCTTGGGAGTTCATAAATAAGAAAACCAAGACCGCTTCTAAACACAGATCTAGGGAGCCAGTGATTAATACCTTCAGAATGTGTTCAGGCTCCATGTGTAACAACACAAATGCAGATCAAGAATGAGAGGATGCCCACAGCACGGTGGGGTGACTACAGTCCACAGCAGGTACTGTATGTGTAAAGGACTGCGAGAGGAGCTGGCAGGCTCCAAACACACATACACAAATAAGAAAATTAGAAGACTACTTGGTTTGATCGGTTTACACTATATATTTGTGTTGAAATATTGTACTGTGTCTCCTAAATGTATACAAGTATCACATAATAATCAAAAAATGTAGGGGCCGTTGCAGTGATGTACCAGACTAATCCTCGGCCTGTAGCGTTGGCATATGGATACCGGTTCACGTCCTGGCTGCTCTACTTCCAGTCCAGCTCCCTGCTAATGATTAGGGACAGCAGCAGAGGATGGCTGAAGTCCCTTGGGCCTGTGCACCCATAAGGGAGATTCAAAGCAGGCTCTTGGTTCCTGGCTTTGGATCAGCTCAGCTCCAGCTGTTAGAACCATTTAGGGAGTAAAGGCAGTAGATGGAATATCTCCCCCGCCCCATCTCTCCTTCTCTCTTTAAATGTGGCTTTCAAATAAATAGTAGTAATTTTTAAATGAAATTATTAATAATAAAATTTGTATGGTCCATGTATCCACAGTAGAGTATCCAGTGACTAAGAGGGAAACTGCATTTGATAGCTAAAATCTCTCAGCTAGTAAGGGAGTTATGTATATATACATATATAAAAATGACTTGCCATGAATTTAGTGTCTCATATGCTGAAGGGGTGTTGGAAACAACTGTGATAACTTCAGCAAGAATTATGTATAAGGGCCTGGTGCAATAGCTTAATGGCTAAATCCTCACCTTGTATGGGCTAGGATCCCAAGTGGGCTCTGGTTTGTGTCCTGGCTTCTCCATTTCCCATCCAGCTCCCTGCTTGTGACCTGGAAAAGCACTAGAGGATGGTCCAAAGCCTTGGGATCCTGCACCCGCGTGGGAGACCTAGAAGTTGTTCCTGGCTCCTGGCTTGGGATCAGTTTGGCTCCAGCCATGTGGCCCCTTAAGGAGTAAACTAGCTAATGGAAAATCTTTTTCTCTCTCTCCTCTCTGTATATCTGCCTTTCCAATAATAATAAAATCTTAAAAAAAATTGTGAATGAAGCAACACTAAAACTACATTGCAATAATAAAAAGCTATAAGATAAAGTAACTTACATACTTAAGAATTGTATTTCTCTTAGCACTCCTCATGTGACGTGCCACTGGAAGACATCGTTGCTCACATGTTTGTGGGAATCTAGAATCCTTCCAGTACTTTACTTCGACATTTGTTAGGTTTTTTGCTGGCACTTACATATTTGAATGTGTGTTGCTGCTAAGCCTAGGGTTTAGTTACAAGAAGGTAGAAGCAGATATGCACAGCATGTGCCTAATATCCTAATAATCTAGTTTGTAAGTAGCATCTGTTCTTTTCTCTGTTAATGAGAACATTGTCACATGGCCACACCAGTTTTCAAACAAGGCTGTCCAGTGTTCTATGCCTGGACAGACATATGTCTGACCATGACATTGATCATGCAAAAGAAAAAAATGGTGAGGCGGGAGAAACAGGTTCTAATAGACAGTTTTCAATCTATGTGACAGATTGTTCGTCCTGCCTCCTGTTGTTCAACATGTAAAATTTAGGTCCAAAAATCAGTTATACCGGGATGGAGAGTTGTGTATAGACTGTAATTATCATTTGTATAAATCAGGATAGTTGTGTCCCCAATATTTTTTGCTAATAGATATGAACAAATTGCTTTGGGGAGTACTAATTTGGTATTGTTGCTAATGAGCAAGATAAAGGTAATGAGATTAGAAAGGATTTGGAATTGAAAACTAAGGACAATCTAGACTCTGAATCACCTCTTCTAGCCAAGGTTCACCATAGATATGTCTTCAGCCTTCTTGTCCTAGCAGCCTTCTGTCCGCGCTGCTTCATATCCAGGCTTCCTGCCAAAATTGACTAGACTGCTTATATGGAACACCATCTCTTAACACTGAAGAATTAACTATATTTTAGGACAAGTTACAGAACCATTGTGAAATTCATGTTTCACATCTGTGAGTATTGGATAATAATAGCAGAGGCCTCATTGGGATTTTGAAGTTGTTAAATAAATTCATGTGTATTGTTTATCAGAAAAATACCTGAAAATTATGTGTCATGTAATAGGTTGGCACATAATAAAGTATATATGATATAATTATGGTATATTATTATATAATATGGTATGTATATTGTGTTATATAATATGTGTGATATATATGATATCAGACATTCCATATTGCATGTGTTATATGTATAGAATATGTATGATATGTGCACACCATTATCCTCATTACACTGATCTCTGCTTCTTCAGTTTAGATGAACTTATGTGTCATTTTTCATCTGCTTCTCTCTATTCTGGTGTCAATTTTCCTTTTCCTTTCTCTTTTTAGATGGGATTAAAGCCTCATCAAGAAGAATTTCTGGAAAAGCTACATTTCATTGTGAAGTAGAGGGCCCAGCTACAACAGATGATTCCTTGTATTCCATTTTGGAAGAACTGTGGCAAGATGCTGAACAGATTAAGAGATGTCAGGAAAAGCAAACCAGACATCTAGGTCATGGTGTTCTCAACAATAAGAAAAGGAGGCATACGGAGTGGGATTGCGGCTATAAAAACATTGGAAAGTGTATCCCTCCAAACTCGGATCTTTTTTCTTTACAGAAAAGACCACATAAACATGATTCATTTGGGAAGCGTTTGAAACATAATTTAGACTCACACCTTCACCATAAAAGCAATACAGCCAAGAACTTGGATAAAGTTATTGGACATGGTCATGTTTTCAGCCAGAGTACTTCTTACACTAACCACGAAAACACCCCCACGGGGGGGAAGTTGTGCGAAAGCAACCAGTGTGGGAAAGTGCTCAACCTCAGGCACGCACTCAGCCCAAACCTCAAATTTCCTGTTGGAGAGAAAGCCAGTGCACGCAGTGAACTTGGAAAGATCATCGCCCCCAAGTCTCGCATCTTTGCTCCACAGAAAATTCACACCGTGGAAAAAGCTCATGAACTCAGCAAATGTGTGAATGTCTTTCCCCAGAAGCCACTACTCAGCATATACGTGAGAGTTCATAAAGACGAGAAGCTGTATATCTGCCCCACATGTGGGAAGGCCTTTCTCCAGAGCGCAGAGTTAATGGTGCATGAGAAAATCCATACAAGGGAGAAACCCTACAAATGCAGTGACTGTGGAAAGTCCTTTTTCCAGGCGTCCTCTCTACTCAGGCATCAGACAACTCATACTGGTGAAAAACTGTATGAGTGCAGTGAATGTGGGAAGGGCTTCTCCCTGAACTCAGCCCTCACCATACATCAGAAAATCCACACCGGAGAGAGACACCACAAATGCAACGAGTGCGGAAAAGCCTTTACCCAGAAATCGACGCTCAGAATGCATCAGAGGATTCACACGGGTGAGAGGTCCTATATCTGTACGGCGTGTGGGCAGGCCTTCATCCAGAAGGCCCACCTGATTGCCCATCAGCGAATCCATACTGGAGAGAAGCCTTATGAATGCAGTGACTGTGGAAAGTCTTTCCCTTCTAAGTCCCAATTGCAGATGCATAAACGAATTCATACAGGCGAGAAGCCATATATCTGCCCTGAGTGTGGGAAGGCCTTCACCAACAGATCCAATCTGAACACTCACCAGAAGTCCCACACTGGAGAGAAGTCGTATATATGTGCTGAATGTGGGAAGGCGTTTACCGACAGGTCCAATTTCAACAAACATCAGACCATCCACACCGGAGAGAAACCTTACGTTTGCACTGACTGTGGGAGAGCCTTTATCCACAAGTCCGAGTTAATCACGCACCAGAGAATGCACACTACAGAGAAACCTTACAAGTGTCCTGACTGTGAGAAATCCTTCTCCAAGAAGCCACACCTCAAGGTCCATCAACGGATTCACACAGGAGAGAAGCCCTATATCTGTCCAGAATGCGGGAAGGCCTTCACAGACAGATCGAATTTCAACAAGCATCAGACCATCCATACTGGGGATAAACCCTATAAATGCAGTGAGTGTGGAAAGGGCTTCACCCAGAAATCAGTTCTCAGTATGCATCGCAACGTTCATACCTGAAAGCAATCCTGATACTTGAGAATGAGAGCACCTTATGACGTAAGTCAAGTTTTAAGTGTGTTATAAAACTCCTCCAAGACACATCTGATCTGTACAAACCATGTAAGAAAAAGCATTCATCGAGCTCTCCCACCTAAGATGAGAAAAATGACTCAGCAGAGACTCAGAGAATGCATCCAGTGAGGTGGGATTTGCAGATTTGTACAGCCTCATGAAAACAACCAAATCCATGCTAGGGAAGTTACTGTCCATTTGATGCGCTAGGAAAAGCCTTCCTCTAGCAAGTAGTTAGCCCTTTGGATCCACGGGTTCCACATCCATGGGTTCAACCAACCTTGGAGCAAAATTATTGTGAAAAAAATGTGTCTGTATTGAGTATGTACAGCCTTTTTGCTTGTTATTATTCAGTAAGCCATACAATATACACTACTGTTTCCTTAGCATTTCTAATCTATTGACTTATCATTTAAAGTAAGAAGATCTAGAGGTGATTTAAAGTGTACAGGAGGATGTGCATAGCTTATATGCAAGTTCAATGCCATTCTATATAAGGAACTTTAGCATCCATGGATTTTGATTCCCTGGAGATTCCAAGGAATTAATATTTTAACATAAATCATTACCAAATTCTTAGAGGATGGAGAGGACAAACTTATGTAAATGATAATAATATTTAATGTGTTATATTAAGCAACTGCAAATGACAGAAGGAAGGTTGAAGCAACAAAATAATGTATCTAATTGTAGACCTCTTGGTATTGTGGAGCATTTGTGGCAGACATATCACACAACAGAAACACAGTTTCAGTGAAATTCTCCTTTCAAATTTAGGGTAATGTTATCTGTCAAATATGTTTCTTCCTCTGTTTCTATCAAGTGAATCCAGAATTTGAAAGCCAGTTTAGTTTTTCATGCACACACATCTACAGGTACAATTTTACACATGATCTATCGTCCACACTGGTTTCCATAGCATAATGTTCATATCTTCCGTCATTGTCTTAAAAATGCAGAGTAGCCACAGATTCTCCCCATTCTGTTGTGCATGTCCTTTTGTAATGTCACTTTTCTTTTTTCTCTTGCTAAGAAATAGTGTCTCGTCACTCCTTGACTTCATACCTCGCTATGTAACTTATTTAGGCCAAAGGATGTTAGCAAACAGTTTCGAAAAGAGGCTGAAAAAGCGTGAAGAGCCTGCCTGACCAAGGCTTACTATCTCTGGCTGTTTGAAATCCTGAGAGCTCCATGTCAGGAAGCTCAGAGCACTCAATTAGGGGATGAGAAACCACATGGAGCAGAGGCAAGCCTCCATAGACTTCAGCTAAGGCCCTTAGACTAAGTAGCCTGCCAACAATTAGACATGGAAATAAGACCGTTCCAGACCTGCAATCTCATTGAAGCCAGCCCAACCCAGAAAAGCCAGTCCAATTAACTCAGCCAACCCAGAAATTTATGAAATAAATCATCATCAGGTTAAGCAATTAAGTTCTAGAATAGTTTGTTGCACAGAAAATGCGCAGTCATATTTAAAAGTATATTGTGGAGGAAGTATTATACTAAAACATTATGCATATGGCATTGGCTTTGGGCTTAAGTACAGAAAGAGATTGGAAAAAAAACAGGAAGTGTTAATAAAGGCTCAAAAAGATGGCCATGCATCTGATTTGGTAAGGAAAAACTGCCAAAGTAGTCACCAAGCTCTGTGAAAAATCAATATACCAAATAATGCACTTACAGATCTGCCTAGAGGTTTGCAGCTAGAAGTGTCAATTTGCTTGTTTTAGCTGTTAACGAAAAGATACAGAAATTGCCTAAACTAATAATTGTTCTATTGGCAAGCAGAGTTCAGAAGAAATAGAGAACATCTAGGACTAAATAATTGGGAAATAACTTTCTCATCGTAAGTCTCACCAAACATCAAAATTTGAGAAAAAGTATAGGTTCAGCCTCAAATCATGAGTGTGTAAGTTCCTTTATTATAATAGGTAAAGTATTTAGTTGGCACTTGGGGGACTGTGAGCAAAACTGAAAGGTTTCCAAATATCCTTACAACATTGTCCTACAGTAACTTGACATATGATCAGAGCCATTTGGGGTGTGGAGTAGATCCAAACCAGATTCACGGAGAACCCATAATTTCTTATAGAGGCTTACAGTGAAACTACCTCCATGTACACTTAAAGGGACTGAAAACAAAAGGTGACCTCTTGAACTCCCGTTCTTTAACTTCTATGGACAGAATATAAGCCAAGAAAGCTACTCAACTGCAAACTTGGGCCATTTCTAATGGGAAGTAAAGAACATGTCAGAGGGAAGACTCAAGAACAATGTACTAGTAAGCCATTCCTAGGGAAAAGTATGCTCTAAGAAAAAAAAATTCCCATGGAGTAGGGAAACCCAGACATATTTTCTCTCTGGGATTTCAGAGGTGTTATGAAACAGTGACAAATAGGTGCCTCTTGTTCTTCCTCTCTGAATGGAAGTAATGCAGTTATGTCTGCATCAGCACTGTGTATATAGATATAGGTATATATATATATATATACATTTATGTATATATATTTGTGTGTGTGTGGAGGGTGTGTTGGGGAAGGGGTCTTTTAACTTGTCATTTAACCTATAGGTGTATGAATCAAGCAACTGAGAAACTGTACCCAAGAAGCCTCTGCCACTCCAGAGCCTCATATAGAAGAGTGGAAATCCTGGATTTGAGCCTGATGCCGTAAATTTGGATGAAACGTTAGGAGGTCCTGGGACAGGAGTGAACATATTTTGCATGAAGCAGTAATGTAAATGATCTGTGACCATTAGACACCTTGTGTTAGAAAATGTTATAGATTGCTCCCTCCCCATTTGTATTCCCCCTTTGAATCTTCCGAATCTTCATGTTTCAGTTAGGACAGTTTCTATTGATCTGTTTTCAAAATTACTAATCCCCGTCCCCAACCGTGGTTCTGTCATACCTGCTCATGAGTCTGCTGAAGGCATCTTTCATCTCAGTCATGTTTTCTTTTGTGTTTCCCTTTGACTCTTACCGTTTTAGCATTTCTGCTGAAATTTTCCATCTGTTTGTTCATATTTTACACTATTCTTTTGTCTTACCTTGAGCTACTCTAAGTACCATAGACTGGATGACTCACGAATAGCAGAAATGTATTTCTCACAGACTGGACATCTATGAGGGCCCTCTTCTAGGATGCGCATTGTCAACTTCTCATTGTATTCTCACATGGTAGAAAGTTGTCTGAAGTTCCCTTTTTAAACATGCCAATCCCATTTATGAGGGCTGCATGATAACCTAACTACCAGAGGCTCCACTTACCCTATCACTTCAAAGAAACAAATTCTTTGAGTACACATTTAGTCTGTAAAACACTTTAACATATTAATGGCAGTTAGTTTTTGATTCTCTGATGGTTCCAGTAACTGCATCAGCTAAGCTTGGATTTGTTGATTGCTTTGTATCATAGCAGTAGGTTATATCCTCTTCCTATTTTGCATCACGTAAATTGTGCTTGAATGTTGGACATTGTGTATAAGGTAGGAGAAGCTAATCTTCTGCTGGAATTGAATCTGTCTAGTCAGGACTTGGGTTGGGTTTGAGTTTGTTGTTGCTATTGTTACCTAAGTTCCTCTTGTGTTACTTTATACTTGGTGCTGACACTGGTTTCCCAGAGAATTTTTCACAGTGTTCCTGGACTACTATTGCCTTTGGGCCTTTTCTGTGGGCCTGCATCTCAGGGTGAGTCTGTGTGCTTGCCTTCCTTTAGTAGTACATGATTGGTTATGTGGTTCCTGTTGCCCTGGTGAAGCAGGGCTCATCCCGGGCTAGCTTTTTTCAGTCAGGCCCTGTATCCATGAGTCATATGGGTTTTTCAGTGTTCCTGCTTCTTTTCCCTTTGCAGAAAGCTTCTCTGTTTTTTAAAAAAAAATGGGATTTATTTATTTGTCTTAAAGTCAGAGTTACAGAAAGAACGCAGTGTTCCATCTAGTACTTTGCTCCCCAAGTGGTTGCAAGAGTCAGGACTGGGCCAGACAGAAACCAGGACCCAGGAGATTCTTCCAGGCACCCCTCATGAGTCAGGCTCATCTGCTTTCCTTAGTGGGGAGCAGGACCAAGAGTGGAGCAGCTGAGACTTGAACTGGTGCTGATATGGGATGCCAGTACCACAGGCAGTGGCTTTACTTGTTACACCATAGCGCTGGCCCTCAGTAAAAAGTTTAAATACTCTGGGCCCAGGATGGTTTCCTGCCCTTAGATCATGAGTAGATCTTTTTCCCTCTACATTTCCCTCCCCTAGTCACAGTGGATCTTCACTTATGTCCTGAGGACAGCAAAGTTAGCTCCATTTCAGCTAGTGACTTAAGGCTTTTGTTCTTTAGAAGAGTATGGTCACACGGAACCTCTGTGGCCTGTCTGAATTAGCGTTACCCACTTACAAGCCTACACCATGGAGGGAGTCTTGTTCTAGTTCCCACCTTACCCCCAGTGCTTCTTGTGAGCTCCTAGAGGAAATCTGTAGAGAAGAGCCTGCAAGTAGGAGCCAGCCACCTGTAGCTTTATTGCTGTCAGAGGTTCTATGTTCTTTGACCATCCTATACTTGGCCCTCAGCAATTCGTTGGAAAGTTTTTGCTGAATTCTTACTGCTAGTGTAGTGGCCCCATCTCCCTTGCTGCTCTTGCCACAGGTAACCAGTGATCGCTTCTTATCTCCTGTCTTCTTACGCTCAAGATTACTCATCCCCCTTTTTTTGATAGGATGAAAGCAACGCTTTTCCCACATTGTCTACATGCTAGACAAAAGCCAAAAGTCTGGATGTTCCTCTGGCCACACCATAAAGAACACATTTGCCTTTCCCATGTGAGTGCCAGTTCACCCATTAAGAGAGTGAAGTCAGTCTCTCCAGATCTTGACACTGGGCTTGCACATTTTGTTGGCCTAAAGAACATCAGCATGCACAACAAAAGCAGAAGCTTGGTAAGTACTTGCACATTAAGGGTTCCCCCCTCTCACAGCTCTTAGGAATGCCGAGCCCATGTGTGAAAAAGCATAGTGTGTAAGGTGAAAGTTCACACAGACCGGTCATCCCAGTTGAAGCACCTTCACTGAACTGGCTTTTCAACTGCCAGAGGTGGTATGTGCAAGTTTGTCTATGGCATTCACAGAAGACAGTGTTTCTGAGGATTGTTTCAATAGAAGGCTTGTCCAACCTGGAGATCAGTTCATATGAGGATGGAAAACAGCTGCTTAATTTTGTGACAAGAAGCTCATCATTGACTTTTAAAAAAAAAAAAAAAGATTTATTTATTTATTACAAAGTCAGATATACAGAGAGGAGGAGAAACAGAGGAAGATCTTCCATCCGATGATTCACTCCCCAAGTGGCCGCAACAGTCCGAAGCCAGGAGCCAGGAACTTCTTCTGGGTCTCCCACACGGGTGCAGGGTCCCAAGGCTTTGGGCTATCCTCGATGACAAGCAGGGAGCTGGATGGGAAGTGGAGCTGCCGGGATTAGAACCGGCACCCATATGGGATCCCAGCACTTTCAAGGCGAGGACTTTAGCCACTAGGCCACGCCGCAGGGCCCCAACATTGACTTTTGATGAGTAATATTCTTAGCAATGAATTTAAAGAAAGCAGCTGAGCAAACCTGAAGTAATTTATGAATTTAAGTAATAGCATTTCACCATAAAGCAACTTTTCTGGTGGAAAATACAAGGCCATTAGACTGAAATGTTCTGTTGCTGTCAAGGTTATATTGAGAAATGAAGAGTTGGCCAAAATGAAAATGATACAACTTTTAGAAGGTCAAAGACAGGAGCAGCCATTACTCTAGAAATCTCTGTGATTAGACAGAGTGAAGAACAGATACAGAGCTAGTCAGCAAGTTATGAATTTCCCCCAGGCATCTAATCCATGTCCAGCTCTTCCATTCAACTCCCAGCCCTGCTGACCAACAGTAGCCCCAGGCCTACCTATATGGATAGTTAGTTGGCTGCAGATCCACAAAACTAATGCCTTCTTACAGATTTGTCAGTCACCTGTCCTATCCCACTCAACTAGATATGCATGGAATCTCAGGGTTTTTTTTTTCTGAAAGCGCCGACTTACCCACTCAAAATACCTTACATTCTTCCTTTCATACCTTTACTTCCCCAGCTACTCCTATAAATTGTCAAGTATAACAAATATTTTTCAATCTTTTATCATACACTCATATGCTTTTCTGATAACAGGTTTCTGAGAATTTGGCACATGTTGCCCTTCTAAAATTGAGTTATGCCATTTGGAAGTCTTATATGAACTCGTTCTCCTTTGTTTCCTGTACAGTATGTACTTTTTGGCCTCAGGCCTTTTTTTTTTTTTTTTTTAATTCTTGAAGCTAAGGACCATTGAAAGTATATGAAGTATATGTGTTGGTCCTGATTTTTGTGTATTAATTCTACCTGGGTTATAGTGAGCCATTTATTTCAGGGATGGTTTCTTTTGCTTAGCATTTTTTTTCTGACCCATTTCTGTTCTTCAGGGATATTAATTTCATATATATAGGCTGGCCTTGTCATCTACTGCATTCATTTTATGATATTCAATATTGGTTTCATGTCATCATGCTTTTGTGTTTGTGTAATTTCCTCTAGCCTCCTGTTCAGAGGCAATTCTCCATGAATCTCATTTTTCTTCCTGTTAAAGCTTGACAACCAATATGCTCAGATTTATTTACATTTAAGGATAATCAAAACAGAGAATTACATCCTCCCTGTAGATATTCCAAAGAAACTGAGCAATAAAAAAATATATAACAATATTTCTCCTACATTTTATTAGGTACATTTTCAATAAATTTTCATCTAGATTTAACAATTATATGTACATTTTTTCTGAAATACTGATAAGTTATAGACACTGATATGCCCATAAAATGATTAAACATCCATCTCAAAACTATTGGTGTTCTCTCACATAACTGGAATATCATTATCAGTCTAATTTTATTATTTTCAACATCTAATCCATTTTAAACTTTCTCCAATTGTCCTCAAAATATATTTTATAGCTTTATTGATGCACATTAGCATTTAATCAATATAACTAGTTTAAAGCATATAATGATTAGTTTTGACATGTACACTTTCCAGACCATGACAGTGAAAATATGAAACACATCTGTTATTTGCAAAAAGTTTTATTGTGCTCCATTGTGAGCCAGCCCTCCTCCTCACATCATTCTCTCGTATATAGGCAACCAACTTATGTGGTTTCTGTATTAGATTAGTTAAATTTTCTATAATTTCGTACAAATGGAGTCATACTGTGGATACTCTAGTTTCTTTAATTCAGCATAATTTAGATTCCTGTGTATTCTTAAATATCTATATTTATACATTCCTTTTTCTGTGTGATACTTCATTGTGTGGATATACTTGAGTTTGTTTATGCATGTATTGATGGAAATTTGTGTTTCTAGTTTTGGATTATTACAAATAAAACAAATATAAACATGTATATACACATTTTTGTGTACATGGTTTTCATTTCTCTTCAATAAATACCTAATAGTAAATAACTTGGTCATATAGTAGGTAGATATTTACAAGTAAAATGGTCATTTTTCCATTCAATTATTGCTTATGGTTATTGTCTATATTCCTACTAAAGTAAGATGTTTTTGCTTTTTACTTGTTAAACTTCTTATTTAGTGAAATATTAATCCATTTTACTATGGTATTCAAAATATATTGTCTCAAAATTAAATGTAGAAAGGGAAAAGGAAGGAAGGTGGAAAGAAGGGAGAACTTGTGTCTATGAACTCTGTATTGAATCAATTAGAATGAATCTAATTAATTTATACAAAGTTGCCAAACTGCTTTCTAAACTGATATTTTGCATTCCTACCAGCCATGCAGAAGTGTTCCAGTTGCTCCATATCTTCACTGGGCATGCTTTTTAATATAGCCATTTTAGCATGGATTAGTGATATCTCACTATGATTTTAATTTATACTTCCCTAATAGCTAGTGTTTGAAAACCTTTCCTTGCATTTATTCATCTGCTGTGGTTTGGAAATTATCACCAAAACTCATGTTGATGCATGGCCTTCAACAGAACAGCATGAAGAAAATTCTTGAGCCATGGGGAGGTGTTTGAGTCATGGAGGCAGAACCCTCAGAGTGACATGTAGCTCTCCGAGAACTGGATTCGTTGGATTGTTATAAAGCACATTTGATTTCCTTCACGTTTTCTTGCTTCCTTTCCCACACATGTACACATGTGTTCAGTCAATATGCACCTGCATCCACACCATAACATGATGTTATGAGGCCCCACCAGAAGCTGAGCAGATGCTAGCACTATGATCTAGAGCTTCCTCGCCAGAACCTTAAGCCAAAATGAACCTCTTTCATTTGTAAATAACTGTTCCACAGTTATTTTGTTACGGCAACAGGAGATAGACTACATTTCTATATCACCTTGATTATTACTATATTTTTAAAATAATTCACCCATTTTTTCTAAAGATTCAATTTTTTATTTATTTGTTTTTATTGGAAAGGCATATTTAGAAGAGAGCAGGAGAGACAGAGAAAGATCTTCTATTTGCTGGTTCACTCTGTAAGTGACCACAACGACCGGAGCTAAACTGAACCGATCTGAAGCATGGAGCCAGAACGTCTTTCAGGTCACCCACACTGGTGCAGGGGCCCAAGGAGTTGGCCCATCCTCCATTGCTTTCCCAGTCATAAACAGAGAGCAGGATCAGAGTGGAGCAGGACATGAATCAGTGCCCATATGAGACACTGGCATTTGAAGATGGAAGATTAGCCAGTTGAGCCATTGCACTGGCCCATTTTACTCATTTTAAATGGGTTTGGTTTTTATTTTTGAACTGTAACAAGTCCTTATAAATCCTATATACGTGCATTTTTAGATATATTTATTTACTAGCATTTTCTCCCAGGTTTGTATTTTTATTTATTTATTTATTTTTCAAAAAAAATGTTTTTAAAAGATTTATTTTATTGGAAAGGCAGATGTACAGAGAAGAGGAGAAACAGAGAGGAAGATCCTCCGTCCAATGATTCACTCCCCAAGTGGCCGCAACGGCCGGTGCTGTGCCCCGAAGCCACGAACCAGAAATTTCTTTCTGGGTCTCCCATGTGGGTGCAGGGTCCCAAGGCTTTGGGCTGTCCTTGATTGCTTTCCCAGGCCACAAGCAGGGAGCTGGATGGGAAGTGGAGCTGCCGGGATTAGAACCGGTGCCCATATGGGATCCTGGTGCATTCAAGGTGAGGACCTTAACCATTTCACTATTGTGCGGGGCTCTGTGTTTTTATTTAAATAACAGAATAATATAAGCTTTTTGTTTTAGTAAGTCACATTTGTTTTTATTTTGTGAGTTTATGCCTTTTATGTTGTGGTCAATAAATTATGTAAAACCCGAGATCATTAAGATTTATCCTACTCTTCCAGAAGTTCTATAACTGTGAATTTTACATTTGGCTCTATGTTCTATCTTAATTTTGAGTATAATATAAATTTCAAAAGATTTAGGTTCGTTTTTAATACACCTGTCCAATTGTCCCAGCACCATTAAATGAAAAAAAAAAAAATCCGTTGAATTGCCCTGGCACTTTTATTTTTAAAAAATCAATTGAGGGCCCAGTGGCATGGCCTAGCGGTTAAAGTCCACACAGCTCATGAGAGAACTGGGTTTGGGAGCAGAATCTGTGAGGGATCTTGGACTCACCTCTGTGGGAGTACAACTGAACTTGGGTACTGATTTGCAAGGCCATAAGTAGAGAGCTAGCTCAGCATTGGGGGAGCAAAGATGAAAATTCATGCATCAGGGATGACATTACCATAAGCCTATAAAGCCACAGTGCTAGCAAAAAGATCATATTTTCAAAAATCAGAGAATTTCATAACAAGAGCAGTGGAAAAGCAAAGTGGGATCTAGGTGTGCAGTGGAATATTAGGCAGGCAATAAAAAGGCACGAGGCTCTCCAAGGTGAGCGCATGAATGCCTGAGCAGAAGCTAGTGAGGTCAGCGCCAGAGACCCACCTCAACTCGGAGGGCTGCGTGGGTGGGCAGGGGTGTGGCCTGTGCACCACCTGGCCTCTGACCCAGCACTCAGGGACCGGCAGCCAACCCTGGTGGGAGGCTCATGGGCAGGGTCTGCTAGGCCACCTCCTTTAATCCAGGCAGCCTTGCGGCTTCTGAGGGGGCAGGCGAGGGGTGCCTGAGCCCTACTGCCTTCCTGCCTCCCGCCTCCTGGCCCATTCTCTGGGGCCTCCCACCTCCCACCTACTGCATCCTGCATGCTCTGAGGCCTCCCTCCTTCCGCCTCCTGAACCCTCTGGGGCCTCCCGCCTTCCGCCTCCAGCCCTCTGCACCCCCTAGGGCCTCCCGCTTTCTGCCCCTTGCACCCTCTGGGGCCTCATGCCTTCCGCCTCCAGCCTCCCGCCATCTCCCCCCTGCACCCTCTGGGGCCTCCCGCCTCCCACCTCCTGCGCCCTGCACCCTCTGGGGCCTCACGCCTTCCGCCTCCTGCCTTCCGCCTTCCTCCTTCCGCCTCCCGCACCCTCTGGGGCCTCACGCCTTCCTCCTTCCGCCTCCCGCCTTCCGCCTCCCGCCTCCCGCCTTCCGCTTCCCGCCTCCCGCCTCCCGCCTTCTGCCCCCTGCACCCTCTGGGGCCTCCCGCCTTCCGCCTTCCTCCTTCTGCCTCCCGCCTTCTGCCTCCCGCACCCTCTGAGGCCTGTTGGTGCGCAGCAGGACCCAGCTGGCCGCCAAGTGGGTCGGGGTGCCTGTGGACAGGCCGCTGCCCGAGGTGAGCCGGAGCGCCCCCAGCCCAGCCTTCCCCTGAGGCCCAGGCACCAGCGGGAGACGCGGGAGCCGCAGCAGCAGCAGAGGCAGCAGCGGGAGCAGCGCCACCCCGCCAAGGCGCCCGCCCCGGCGGCCATCACGCGGCCCAGGCCCGGCCACGCCACAGGCCCGCACCATGCGCCTCACCCTGCAGGCCGGCCCGCAGCTCACCTTCCAGGTCGACGTGGACCCCGAGCACACGGTGAGAGCCCTCAAAGAGAAAATCGAGCTGCAGCAGGGCAGGCACGCCTTTCCAGCGGCGCAGCAACGGCTGCTGTATGCCGGCCAAGTCCTCCAGGACGGCGCTGCTCTCAAAGACTACCACCTGGATGAGCACACAGTGGTAGAGGTGCTGCTGGCCGAGCCCAGCGCAGCTGCCACTGCAGGGCCGGCCGTGCCCAGGGCCACGGCCACCAGCATGGCCACGGGCACAGACACGGCCACGGGCACAGACACGGCCACCAGCACGGCCACGGCCACCAGCACGGCCACGGCCACCAGCATGGCCACGGGCACAGACACGGCCACCAGCATGGCCACGGCCACCAGCATGGCCACGGGCACAGACACGGCCACGGCCACCAGCATGGCCACAGCCACCAGCATGGCCACGGCCACCAGCATGGCCACGGGCACAGACACGGCCACGGGCACAGACACGGCCACCAGCACGGCCACGGGCACAGGCAGGGGCGAGCAGTCACAGCCTGCCCCCTCTGCTGCCCTGGCGTCCAGCCCGTGGGCAGCTGCAGCTCAGGCCCCAGCGCCTGGCCCTGCCTGGGCGGCCACCTCCAACATGGCGTCTGCCCAGCCCGCCGCACTCGCTGCCCCTGCGCCTGAGCCACCTGCACCTCAGGAGGCACCCACGCCAGGTGCCGCCCTCCCAGCAGCCAGCGACGAGGCCACCGCAGGACCCTTGTCCGGCCCCACGTCCTGGGAGCACGGGGCAGGTGCCCTGGTGTCAGGCCCAGCCTACGAGCAGTCCATCACGGACCTCGTGTCCATGGGCTTTGAGCGACGGCAGGTCCTGGCAGCCCTGAGAGCCAGTTACCACAACCCTCACCGAGCTGTGGAGTACCTTCTCGAGGGAATCCCTGCACACACAGAAGGGCGGGCCGCGCACCAGCCCCCTGCAGCCGCGGGCCGCAGAGCTGCTGGCTCACCAGCAGACGCTGCGTGGACAGCGGCGGCAGAGGCTTTGGCATCTTCTACCAAACACCTGCTGGACTTTCTCAAGACTGGCTCTGGCCCTGCAGGCCTGGCTCAGGGCCAGCAGGGCTCCAGCGAGCTGACAGCCCAGGAGCTAGAAGCTATCGACAGGCTGAAGGTCCTGGGCTTTCCTGAAGCACTGGTGAGGCGAGCGTATCTAGCTTGTGACAAGGACGAGGAGCTGACGGCCAATTTTCTCATCGAGCACTACCTGCCGGAGGACTGAAGGGAACTCTTGTGTGCTGCGTCCGTCCCCCCTCTGCATGACACTGACCTTGGTCTTGGGTGGTCCTCGCTGACTGCTGCTCTCCACATTTGGCATCTGGTTATAGATGCTAGGGCTTTGAGTCGAGTGCTGATTACCCAGGGCAGGGATAGACACGCGGTGGGTCTGCCTCTGCAGCAGGTGCCACAGGTCCCCACCGTGGGTCCCCCAGGATGCAACCAAAACCTGCTTTCGCTGCTGTGCATTTCTATGGGAACGCGTTCAGGAACTTGTCCTGAGTGTTCCTCTTGTCAGTAGACTGCCTCCACAACTGTGTCCTGGCCTCCCTCCCGTGCTAAAACACTGGGTAACCTCTCCTGAGTTTGTGGCTCGCTGGCCCCCAGCCAGGCTTGCATCTCGTCTGGATTCCTTTGGTCAAGCCCTCGGTCGCCTGTCCTGGCTTCCCCCGTTGTCGGTGGACTGCAGCCACACTTGGGTTTTGTCCTGACTGCGGAGATGACTCGCTGCGTACCTTCTGGGTTTCCCTGTAGTCACTTGCCTCCCTCCCCACCCATGCAGTGTACTGCCCCGTTTCCATCTTTCCTACACATTGCTTTTTGCAGTCACTGCTCCCTCGAGGGCAGTTTGTCTCTGTTTCACAGCAACACTAGCTATAGACAGAACCGGGCCACTACTTAGTCCGTAGCCTAGGGTTCTTTCCAATTCTTGCTGCTGTGTGCAGGGCCCTTGGACATGTGCCTGCAATTCTTGCCCTAGTAGACTTTCATCAGTGAGCTTGATTTGATATATATGTTTCTGCTTGGACTTACACTGGTTCTCACATCGGTTTCTGGCACTGCAGGCAGAGAATTTAGATTTATGGCTGTGTCTACGTTAGTTTTTACATTGTTCTATGCTATGCATTTTATGCAAATGTCATTTCCAGTGCTGAATGTATAAGATATGTAAAGGCTTACAGAGGTGTAATTCATCTGATTTGTCCCCCCAAGTTTACCTCTATGACTGCACAACACAATAGCAGTTGAGGTTGTACTCATTGTGTCTATGAAAATTTTGAAACTGCCTTCATAAGTAAAGACTTGTCCTTTTGCATATCCATATTTATGGAAGTTAGAATTTCTGGGGGACTACTCTTAGGGCCACTGCTCGTACCATAGTGGTTCATCATGGTTTTTGTGGAATATTGCCTAAAACCCGAAGTTATTCATCACAGTATTTTGAAGTACCACAGGTATAAAATCTGAGGCACGTCATTACCGATTTATTATATGTGTGTGTACAGTTTATTTTTTGACCTATTAGTGCCGTTTTCCTGTTAGTATATCTGTTATGCTTATATACATACATTGCCTATTTTAATGTGTAAAGTTGCCCATTAAATGTTCTATAGTTTTCATGTTTCTCAAGTAAATTCCCTTTTAAATATAAATAAATGTCTTCTAAATATTTTAAATTGTTTTTTCAATAATTATATTCTTGGAGATTTTAGACTTTGGGAATTTTAATCATTGGGACTTCTTTTTTTTATGTCTAGCATTAAGAATAATCATGTATATTCTGAAAGTTTCATCTTTGTTTGCATGAGGTTTTTTTTTTTGTTTTGCATTTTTTTCAAACTTTAGTTTTGATGTTTACATAGTTGAGAAGGATGCATGCCCATGTGGACCACTGAGTAGGGTGGGGACAGTCACAGCACAGGGGAAGGTGGATGAGATCATTGTTTCCGGTTTTCCTTTGCTTCTTCCTGTATCTGGGGGAGGGGGAGAGAGAAGGGGAAAAAGCAGATGGAGCAATGCAACAGCATCAGTACCCAGGGATTGGGGAGGACCCCCCCCCCCAACGTCATCCCAGGCTCCCTGATGTGGAGCATTTTCCTAAGGTACTGCTCAAATGGTTTCAATTGTTCTGAAATGCTGTTGTTTTGTTGCTCCAAAGATGAGGAAATCCTTCCAAGATCCACTGGCTGACAGTCCACGTTAGATTTTCCATTTCCAGATTTTTTTTAAAGATTTATTTATTTCTATTGGAAAGGCAATATACAAAGAGGAAGATCTTCTGTCCAATGGTTCATTCCCCAAGTGATCGCAACAGCTGGAGCTGAGCCAATCCGAAGCCAGGAACTCCTTCTGGGTCTCGCACGCGGGTGCAGGATCCCAAAGCAGGAGCCAGGAGCTTCTTTTGGGTGTCCCATGAGGGTGCAGGGTCCCAAGGATTTGGGCTGTCCTCGACTGCTTTCCCAGGCCACAAGCAGGGAGCTGGATGGGAAGCAAGGCCGCCGGGATTAGAACTAGCGACCATATGAGATCCCAGTGTGTGCAAGGCGAGAATTTTAACCACTATGCTATTGCGCCGGACCCCGATTTGCAGATTTTGCTGTCAGCGCTTAGCTGGGAGAGTTGTCCAATTTGTTCTGCCGTTCATCCTCTGCCATGGTACTCGTTGTCCTCTGCAGGCCCCAATGGAATGCCCCATACACCATGTGCATCTGAGCATTCTGTCTACTGCACCATCTTCAGCTGCTGAGGAGGCCCAGTTCTGACACATGCATGCCATGATCAGAACACACATCTTGTCATTTTCCTGTGGTTAGAATTCTTCATCCAGTGGTTAATGTTGGAGTGCGGGGAGGGTACAGATGTCCCCAAAGAAACCTCGCCTGCAGTGACATCAGACCTGACTCCTTTGCCAGCCAGTGCAGGTTCTGACTCAATCACAGGCATTGATTTACACACGCACTGGTAGTTGCAGTTACTGGGTCTGTCCTGTCTCCTGTCCCATATCATTTGCAAATAGTGAATGCTGTTGCTGTGGCCCAGCCTAACCCTGCCCACCACACACTTGGACCTCACATACATCAGCAGGAATTGTAGCTCAGTTGGAGCAAGGCCCCAAACCCCCACCAGGCCTGCCTCCAGCCCCTGTTCCTGTGCATGCCGCTATGTGCAGCAGACTGGTGCAGTCTGTCCTGCATCCCATTTGGCTTTTATACACATCAATTGATACTGCAGCCTAACTCAGGCCAACCAACCCCACTTTCCAGCCTATACTTTTTTTTTTATTGTTAATAACATTGTATTAAGTAATACAGTTTTATAGGTACTGGGATTCTCCCCACTATCCAGCCTATACTTAATGCTGGCTGGTGCTATTGCCTGTCCAACCAGGTCCACCCCTACCCTTAGTTCTCTTGCTCATTAGGAGGAGTGCAGCCCACCAGAGACTTGCTCAGTTTCCCTACCGGTCCACTCCCAGCCCCAGATCTTGCACTTTACAGGCGGATCTGCAGTCTGGCTTGACAGGACTTGCCCACACTCCCAGCACTTGCCAGCTCATGCTGCAGCAAAGGCTGACCAGCCTGCACTTACTCTGGCTCATGCCTGCACCAGTGGATACAGTCGTTTAGCTCAGCCTTACTCTTCCCCTAATCCAGCTCACGTGCAGGGCAACGGGTGTTGTAGCCCTGCCTAGCCTGGTCTACACACCGTGTTCCAGATCTCACGCCCACCAGCGGGAGCAGTGACCCAGCAGGGTGTCCCCACTGTCCCTCTACCAGACTACCCCCCAAACTCCTGGGTCTTGCATGCGCTGGTGGATGCTCTGACCCAGTTTGACATGGCCTGTCTCACCTCGACATTTGCCGCAGGTGCTGTAGCCCACATGGCCCAGTGTGGGCCTGCGTAGTCTTAGTTCCAGCCCATGCTATTGGGTGTCGCAGACTAGCCCATCCTGCACTGCCCCCAGTCCGGGCCCTTATGTGAACTGGCTGGTGTTGTGTCCCAACTAGCCTGTCCTGCGCCCTGTCCTGGTCCTCAGAGCCACCCTCCAAACCTGACCCACATATATACTGGCAGGTGCTGTGACCTGGCCTGTTCTGGGCTGTTACCAGTCTTTGTTCTTGTTCTCATCTTCAGAGACTGCGTCCTGAAAAAGGAGTTCCCCAAGCTCCTCTATCAGGTCTCCCAGTGGCAAATCTCATACACTGGTGGAGCTTTGGACCAGTCTGACTCAGCCCATCTCCTGTTCTGTCAGGTATAGAGGCCTTGCCCAACTGGCACACTCCTATTCCGGCTCTTACTGTTGGGTGCTATGTCCCAGCCATGCCTGGTCCACCCCTGACCCAGTTTTCACATGGTTCAGTGGATGCTGAGACCTAGCCCAGCCCGTCTTGTACCTACCCTGGCTCTCATGAACACCAGTGGGTGCTGGAGTCAACCTCAGTGTGGTATACCCCAGACCCAGCCCACACTATGTCAAGGGATACTGCAGCCATGTCCAGCAAAGTTTTCTGGCCCAATCCAGGCTCTCATACTCACCAGTAGGAATCATACTCCAGTAGAGGCATCCCTTTAGCTCCTCGATCAGCCTGCTCTCAGCCACAGATCTTGCACATTCCAGTGGTTGCTCTGACGCCGCCTGGCCATCCAGCTCCCTGCTTGTGGCCTGAGAAAGCAGCAGAGAATGGCCCAAAGCCTTGGGACCCTGCACCCACGTGGGAGACAGGAAGCCTGTGACTCCTGACTTCGAATTGGCTCAGCTCTGGCTGCTATGGGCACTTAGACGGTGAACCAGCAGACAGAAGATCTCTCTACCTCTGCTTCTCTCTGTGAATCTGACTTTCCAATAATAATAAAACAAATCTTTAAAAATAATCTAAAAACTTAGCCTACCTTAGGAATTTAATTATAGTGATCAGAATCTAATAGCACAGTGTTCAATTGAAGATGAGGGGCTCCTGGGGTGGCACAGCAAGTTAAGCCACCACCTGCAGTTCTGGCATCTCATATGGCCACTGGTTCATGCCCCAGCTGCTCCACTTCTCATCCTGCTCCCTGCTAATGTCCTAAGAAAGGCAGCCAGAGGATGGCCCAAAGCCTTGTGATCCTGTACCATGTGGCAGACCTGGGAAAATCTCCTGGCTCCTGGCTTCAGATCAGCTCAGCTGCAGCTTTAACATGGATTTGGAGAGTGAACCATGGCATAAAAAAAATATTTTTCTCTTTGTTTTTTCTACTCTCTGCAAATCTGCCTTTCCACAAAAATAAAGTCTTAAAAAAAGAAAGATGGAGGGCAGCATAAGCTTCCTGAAAGAGTTTGCAATGTCCAAAGCTGAAGCAATCAATGGCACAAAATCTTGATGGAATATAGTCTGTAGAATACATATGCATGCACCCAAATTATTATAAATGATTTAATACAATTATGGAGGAAATTTCTTAGAGTATTCTTACATAATATTTTACAGCATAGTTCTAATTAGTAAATGCAGAAATAAGGGACATACAAAATGTGGCCTCAGGCCCGATGTGGTAGCCTAGTGTAGGTCTTTGTCTCACCTTCATATGCCCACAAGTGACCCACTGGGTTGCCATTTGTGTCCCAGGCAGCAGGAGTCCAAGAGCCACAGGAAATGGTAAGATCTAACCAGCCCTGTCCAAACTGCAGGACTGATTTTAATGAACATGTAGTCCAGGAAGGTTCTCCAGTATTAATGCAAGAGTTTTGGCTTCAGCATCCTCAGGCATCATCCCAGAATACTGCATCAGGGCAAGCTGTTGTACTCATTTCCTTTCCTCAGACATGCATGTGATGTGTCTGTCACAAGAAAGTGAGCCAATAGCTTATTGCCTTGCAAAGAAAATCAGAGAAAGCTGGCAGCTTGGGAAAACACAGTTAAGGTTTCAGGTCTCTGTCACCAACCTGTTTCATAAATAAGTTTTAGGTAGCTTGGGTGGTTCTCTTCTATAGATACAGCCCCAGTAAAAAAGCACATTGATAAGAGGGGCAGGGGTACTGATTCCAAGCAGGAAATGACGTGGTGAAGGGGTCTCTGGTTATGTTCATTCAGATCAGGGCTTTTAACTTCTCTCTCATGTTGGAAAATATAAGCATCACCTTGTAGTGACCTTAGGAGCAAGTTACCCAACCTCTCTGTGAGCTCATACTTAGGTGCCCCTTATAGAAAGTGCATTTCCTGGGCCCAGCGGTGTGGCCTAGCGACTCCAGTCCTCACCTTGAATCCCATATGGGTGCTGGTTCTAATCCCGGCTGCTCCACTTCCAATCCAGCTCCCTGCTTGTGGCCTGGGAAAGCAGTCAAGGACAACCCAAAGCCTTGGGACCCTACACCCACGTAGGAGACCTGGAGGAAGTTCCTGGCTCGTGGCTTCGGATCGGTGCAGCACTGGCCATTGCGGTCACTTTGGGGAGTGAATCATTGGATGGAGGATCTTCCTCTCTCTTTCTCCTCCTCTCTGTATATCTGACTTTGTAACAAAAATAAATAAGTCTTAAAAAAAAAAGAAAGTGCACTTCCTGCATACAAAGGAAAGAATATGAATCATTTTGATAAGATACAGAAAGACACTGGTAGATTTTAGTATAAGATATTTTCACAGATGTCACCTTGCATACTAACTAAATTATGTTAGGTCTGCTGGGATCACATTAGGTAAACCTAAGAATCATTTTATCTGGTACCTAGGGTGATAATGTTCATGTGCTTTGGAATTCATGGAGTCTCTGTTGTTCTGTCTGCTTGGTTATTAGTTTAAAAAATAAAAACAAAAACAAGAAAAAACACACCTGATCAGATTCTAGATTGAGCATTATCTATTCATATGTGAACTGTTAATAAATCATACGTCTAGATGCTGGACTTCATAATAACAGTAATACAGTATGTTTTTTCCCCCAAGTTTTATTTTTTGAGAAGGTAGTATATCCACACAGTGTAATCTGCAAAAGCTATGCAAGGACACAGCTTACTCCCTCCCAAGTCCATCCCCCCAGCTACCCACTGTCACAGCCCCAGGAAATCAGGGTCACCAGGTTCTTGTGCCTCTTTCCAGAGGTACTGAACACACAATTATACACTTGCCAGCTTTCCCTTTTTAATGTACAAATGGTAGCCTATTATAGTCACTACCCTGCACCTTGCTTTTCCTACCTAGTAATGTAACTTGGGAGATTATCTAACATGACTATTGGAGTGGTATCCAAGTTCTGTTTACTCATTCTTGTCTACCTTGAAGCTTGCTGTGAGAATACACCATGACTTAGGGGACCAAAATCCTGCTGTTGGCACTCAGACTGCTTCCAACCTTTTGTTTGCACAGCATGTTAACATCAGCATGTTAACCTTTCTGTATGTGGAATTACAGATCTAGAAGTGCAACTGTGGTTTTTCAGCTTTTGAATCCTCTTTGAGAAGAGTTTCTCCTGGACATGGCTATTCACTCAAGGTTCATGTAGGGGAAGAAACCAGGGATATATTTTCTAAAAACTTGGAAATCCCTTCACTTTCATACTTGTCAGTGAATAGGGGGTGGCTACAGGGTTACTCAGGGAAAAGTATTCTCTTTCCCCAGCACCCTAAAACTGTTCCTCCCATCAACATAGACTACTCTCTACAAATATGGATTGTCACCATGACTTGTCGCTGAGGCCCCTACCTCTTCCTCCTTGGCCCCTAAAGGGTTCAGGAGCCCCCTGAGCTGCTAACACACTGTTAAGTTTTGTGTCTATGGGTTCTGCACTCATGGTGTATCCTGAGCCTCAGCTAAGAGTCCTTACCCATGCTGTCGCACATCTGCAGCCTTGGGTTCATGTTTTCTCTCTGCCCAATTTTGTTAGAGATCAAATTTCTGTAGTTTTGGAGTAAGGAAAACACAGCTGACTATTCCTCTCCATATTTAAACCATCATCAGTCAGGACATACTTTGAAAACACAAATTAAATCAATACAACTTTGCTTCAGTGTGCAGTGAGCTTTGACTTCCGGGTGGGGCCTCTCCCATGGGCCTTTTTCCCCGTGTGAGTTCTCTGATGAACAATAAGGTTTGATTTTTGGGTAAAGGCTTTCCCACATTCTGTACACTTGTAGGGTTTCTCTCCAGTATGAGTTCTTTGATGTACAGTGAATGTTGACTTCTCTCTGAAAGCTTTGCCGCATTCAGTGCACGCATAAGGTTTCTCTCCTGTGTGCGTCCTCTGGTGTATTATGAGCTGTGACTTCTGACTAAAAGCTTTCCAACAGACAGCGCATTCATAGGGCTTCTCTCCTGTGTGGATCCGCTGATGTATAATGAGCTTGGACTTTTCTCTGAAGGCTTTACCACATTCATTACATTTATAGGGCTTTTCTTCTGTATGAGTTCTTTGATGTATAATGAGATAGGACTTCTGGGAAAAAGCCTTCTCACATTCACTGCACTCGTAAGGCTTCTCTCCGGTGTGACCCCTCTGATGCAGCATGAGATAGGATTTCTGGGAGAAGGCTTTCTCGCATTCATTGCATTCAAAGGGCTTTTCTCCTGAGTGAGTTCTCTGGTGTACACCAAGGTTTGACTTTTGGGTAAAGGTTTTTCCACACACGTCACATTCATAGGGTTTCTCTCCTGTGTGGGTTCTCTGATGAACGATGAGGGTTGACTTCTCATTGAACGACTTCCCACATTCACTACACTTATGAGGCTTCTCCCCTGTATGGGTTCTTTGATGTATGATCAGAGTCGACTTGTCACTAAAAGTTTTCTTGCACTCATTACATTCATGGGGCTTCTTTCCTGTGTGAGTACTATGATGTAGAATTAGATCAAGCTTCTGTAGGAAAGATTCCCCACACTTGGTGCATCCGTAGGTTTTCTCCCCTGTGTGGGTTTTCTGATGGACAATGAGGTTTGACTTCTGAGTGAAGGCTTTCCCACATTCATTGCATTCGTAAGGTTTCTCGCCTGTGTGAGTCCTGTAATGGATGATGACAGTTGACTTTTCTCGGAAAGCTTTCCCGCATTCAGGACACTCAAATGGCCTCTCTCCGGTATGAGTCCTAAGGTGAATAATAAGCTGAGACTTCTGGCTAAAGGCTTTCCCGCATTCAGTACATCCGAAAGGCTTCTCCCCTGTATGAGTTCTCCAATGTACGATGAGGTGGGACTTCTTGCTGAAGGTTTTCCCACATGCAGAACATTCAAAGGGTTTCTCTCCATTTTTAATTCTCTGATGTAGACTAAGGCCTTTCTTTAGTTTGAGGGTTTTTCCGCACTCTTTATAGCCATAGGGTTTCGCTCCAGGATTTGTTTTCTCACACTCAGCATGGAAGAATAATTTTGTACATCCTCCACTATCCGGTTTCTTTTCAGCAGAGCTTCTAAATAAGCCCAAATTATCTATCATATTATCTCCAAATAATTCATATTTATGGGGTTGTTGTATTGAAGCAACAATGTCTGAATGCAGATAAAGTGTGTTATCAAACTCATTACAGTCAGGACTACTCCTTGCAGTGAATGTTTGCTTGTCAGGGAATCCAAATTGCATCAACACACATTTATCTTGGTAATCCTGCTGCCACCTCCTGATCTCTTCATCACCTTGGCCAACCTCTTCTAGAAAAAAAAAAAAGTGAAAGCAAACATCTTTACACTCTGGCGTTCTGATATGAATGTTTCTTAGAAATGTCCTACTACGTGGAAAGACATTTTCATCCCATCAGCATTCCCAGAGACAGTCTTTTTCAAAGCTCCAAAATCTCATGTTGAATCCTCAGCCTTTCTTACCCCTACTTCTGCATCATCTCTGACCTCCACCAACTCTGGGAACCTATCTCCCTTAATCTTTTTAACTACCTGACTTACACTCTTTTCAGCAAGATAGAAATGCAACAGTGTCATAACTGGGCTTAAGGCTTAAACCAACCCTGAATCCATTCTCAGTGAAAAAACAGAAAAACCTAGAAAAACAAGCATGACAAAAAAAGAGAAACAAACCTAAAATTATTCCTTAATGTGGGTGTATTTATACGACTATGCAAGCTTTCATTCACAGCACTTTAACACCACCTCTTCCGCTCCTGCCCACTAAAACTGTGGTTTTTATTAACTCCACGCCAGCTGTCATGTTCCATCACCACATGGCCCTGTTCTGCATATTTTGCTATATTTAGAATCTAGATAACTTTAAAGAAGCATTTCAGTCCTTTGAAAACTTGATTTTTAACTTCTGAAGTGCCACTGGTGCTTGCTTCATCCACTGCAACATGCACATAATCTCACAGAGATAAAAGAATCAGAGGGATGTGTCAAAAAGACAGAGGTACTAGCCTGAAGGAATTCCTTCTAGCTGAGGACAATAAATGAATAATGACAGGAATGGATGTGGAAAAAAAAAAAAAAAACAAGAATCAGTCATCTTCATAATAATTGATTCAGGTGAAAAAAATCAATGACTGCTAACACCTTTGGGATGTGAACTGGATATTCATACAGTCAGGCAGTTCTTCAAAGTATTAGACATAGCACACTGATATAAAAATTCCAATACTGTGTATGAGAGAACGCCAGTTAATGGAAAATGGAATTAAAACGTAAGAGTTATTTTGGTACAAAAAATCTGAAATCCATGCATAGCTTTTTCATACTACATATTTTCCATGAACTTTTCAGACTCCCCATATATATGTAAAAGGAAACCAGAAAAACTCTATGCTCGAATATTGCTAGGATTATTATTTCTAATAGCAAAAAAAGAATGGATAAAAAAATCCCAGTGATTTATCTACACCATGGAACATAAATCCTCTTATAAGGGGCAGCATATGACAGTCAGCTGGGCAGCCAGTTGCAATGCCAGCATGCCGTGTGAGCACCAGCTTGAATTCCAGCTGCTCTATTTCTGATATAATTCCCTGCTAATGTGTCTGAGAAAGCAGAAAAGAGCCAGAGTGCTTGGTCCTCTGCCATCCACGTGGGCAATCCAAATGGAGTTCCAGGCTCCTGGTTTTAGCCTGGCCCAGTCCAAGCTGTTGCAGATACTTGTGGAGTGAACCTGTGAATATATGGAAGATCTCTCTTCCTCTAACTCTGTATTTCAAATAACTTAAGTCTTTAAAAAAGAAATGAAATTCTGATGTATGCCACAACATGAAAACAGAAAGAAACCAGGAATAAAAGCTGACATTTTGAGTCTATTGATGTGAAATGTCCAGAACAGGCCAAATCACAGAGACAAAGTAGATCAGCGACAGGCAGGGAATGGCAGGAAGAAGGGATGGCAAGCACCTGCTAAGAGTTCAAGTTACTTTTGCAGATGAGGGCTGCAGAACTGAATATATGAAAAACCACTTTTAAAAGGAACATTTTATGGCCTATGAATTATCTCAATAAAGCAACTTTTTAAGCAACAGAAAATTTTAAAACAGAAAATCTAATTTTAGAATGGTAAACCTGCAAATATATTCTAAACTGAAGTATCTAAGGCTGAACCAGAAGAATGGACTTGGGTAGTCCACTTGGGAATTAAGTATCAGAGTCCAGGCCTGTGACTAACATGGGCCTGGCTTCAGACAAGCCAGTGACAGATGCGAGTCCTAGCAGGGGATGCTGGCACTTACACATGAGCCAAAAGGAGCAGCACAGAGACTTGCAGGTAAGTTTCAACTGAAGCGGAGTGGTCCATGGAGGAACACCTGTCTTAATATCTGACAGCATTTCTCCAGAGCCCAGGCCAATCGTACTTACCCAGAGAGCTCCAAATTGCGATTTTTCCTTCTGCTGGACACAGCTCTCTTGCTTCCAACCTGAGAATGAGGTCTGGTTTGGGGTCCTGCTGGCCTGTGAATGAGAAATGACAAAGATACCTCTTTGGTCTCTTAGAGTCTCTGAGACAGAGGGAACCTGCAGTCCTCGGGGCAACACAAGGGATCAACACATGATAAAGGCCAACCACTTCACTCTAGGTTTCAAGGTTGTAAACACCTTGGTCAGGAGAGAAAAAAGGAAAAAGAAAAAAGAAAAAGCCTCTACTGGACAGAATCATCCTAAACAGCAAAATTGCCCAAAGAAGCCATTCTTACCCATGGAGACCAGGTGGCTGTAGGTCTCCAGCATCACATCTCTGTACAGAGTCCTCTGTTGAGGGTTCAGGTACTGCCACTCCTCCTGGGTGAAATCCACAGCTACATCCTCAAATGTCACAAGTTCCTGCAACAGTACATTTCTTTTATCCAAAATGATGACCACAGCTGATTAAGCTGCCACTTGCAACACTGGCATCCTGTATTAAGAGTTCAAGTGCAAGTGCTCTACTTTTTTTTTTTTTAAAGATTTATTTATTTATTTTTATTACAAAGTCAGATATACAGAGAAGAGGAGAGACAGAGAGGAAGATCTTCCATCCAATGATTCACTCCCCAAGTGACTGCAACGGCCGGTGCTGCGCCAATCTGAAGCCTGGAACCCAGAACCTCTTTTGGGTCTCCCATGCAGATGCAGGGTCCCAAGGCTTTAGGCCGTCCTCGACTGCTTTCCCAGGCCACAAGAAGGGAGCTGGATGGGAAGTGGAGCTGCTGGGATTAGAACCGGCGCCCATATGGGATGCTGGGGCGTTCAAGGTGAAGACTTTAGCCACTAGGCCATGCCGCCGGCCCAAGTACTCTACTTTTGATTCAGCTCCCTGATAATGCACTTAGAAAGTTAGGATGATAGCCCAAGTACTTGAGTCCCATCACCCACCTGGGAAACCTAGAGGGAGTTTCAGGCTCCCAGCTTCAGTCTGGCCCACAGTGCTGGGTGTTGTGGCCAGTTGGGGAGTGACCCAGTGGGTGGACAGTCTGGCCTCTGCTGTTTTTCAAATAAAATATTTTTAAAAAATGCTCATCACCGAGTGATGAGGACAATTGAATGTAGGGAAACTTCTGACTGGGTTTTCAGTTCACTACAATCACTTAATACAGCATGTCTATTTCACATCAAGATAGTGACCTACTCTGTGGAAGAATCTCAAATCACTGTAGAAAAACTATTCCATTAAATAATGTGATATTTAAAATGATAGAATATTTATCTCAAGGACAGACCTTCTAGTGGAGCTAAAAAGAGAATCCAAATATCAAAGGCACCTGATTTATGACCAAGTCAGCTTAGTAACTAATAGGAAGATGTTTTTAATTAATGCAGATGGGTTACTGGATATCTATATGGAAGGGATATTAAATGTATTCCCTCTGATCATATAAAAAAATCAGCTACAACAAGGATCTACTACACGAGGGGCAGGATCAGGACAACTAGGCAGCAAGCCTAGGGGCACAAGCACGAAATTCTATTTGCCTCACTCTGGCAGTCTCACCACCTACCACCAAAAACACTTCCTGGACATTCTTCTCCCTACCAGGAATACTGAGGGGCCATCAAGAGGCCACCTCCATCTCCTGGCACTAATGCAGTATGACAGCAAGGAGCAGCACACCTTCTACCCTGCCCTCCCTCCCCTGACCATTGCAGACACAGGGGGAGAGTGGAAACATCGCTCTCACCTCCCTGCACCCCACCCCTCCACTCTCTCCATCCGCATCAGGGGCTCACGTGGCTCTGCAATCCCCTCACCTTCTTAATAAACAAATAATGAAAAAATATATGGAAATAACCATTTATTGAAAAACTTGTTAAAAAAAAACAGCTAAAAATAAGCTGTAGCCTAATATGAGAGTCTATAAAGGAACTGTATGGTCCTCTATTTTCCACTGCTTTGTCTCCTGCCCTTGCGAGAACATAGTAACTAAAGTGTTCTGTAACCGAGCGGGCTGTGTTGTTCCCAGAAGCCTTGAATCCAAGCTTGGGACTTGAGCATTAAGGCTGTAGCCCAAAACACAGAGAAACCAGCTCTGACCCTGAGCCAAATCCCTGAGACTCTCTCATCAAGCTCTACATCCTTGCACCTCGGCGTGCACATGCCTAGGAAGGACACACTTCCTCTCACTCTGTTCTGAGGACCCCGCAGCTATCTGAAGTAAGCTCCCGTAATAAATGCTTTGGACTGAGAAGGCTGGCTCTCAGGAATTTTCCTTGGAATCCCAACAGGGCCCATTCCTTTGCAAGGTACTCCCCCATCTGGCTTTGGGGAAACCACAACTGTGAGCTCAGTGGGTCAACACAATGGAGAAAAAAATGTTTTCAAAAGCTTAGGAAAGGGAAAAAATTCCAAAGCCAAGACATGACAAGCACCACTCATAAAGCAAAATCCTTGTGTTATGAACATGAAAGTAGGGCACTGAAAAAGGCAGGCCACAGATGGGGCCGTCATCTGCCACAGTCACAAGGACTAACTAAAGGCATCAGATGTGGACCATATAAAGCAACGACCAAGGAGACTGGACAAGAGAAGTCAATTGGTACACCTCACTGAAAACCAAACAGCCTACAAACATAAAATGTACCCAACCACTTTAGCACCCAGGTAGACAAAAACTTAAGCCACACCGAGATTACCAAATACGCACACACCAGAAAGGTTACAACTGTGCAGTGTTAATATATCAGAATGTTGTATTGAAATGTGAATGCTATTAAGAAGGTAAACTGGAATACTCTTTTTGGCAAAACCGGTTAATTACTAAAGCTAATGATTTGCAATACACCATCATTCAGCGATTCAACTCCTATGTACAATTTTACACTTTCGAGAAAAGCATGCATATGTACTCTAGAAAACAAGCACAACGATGTTTATAGAAGTTGTAATGTCTTCCTAACACCAAATCATGGAGGGTAGGGGGAAACCAACCTGTGAACAATAGAATAGGCAGGTTGTGGCATAGTCATTCAATGGAAAGCTGTGTGGTAATGACAACGAATGAACTATCACTTAGCAGTTGTAAAGCAGGTTCACTGTGCACTGGTTACCAGTAACAAAGACAGAACATCCATACGCAAGGTACATGGAGTGACTTGTTACTTACGCAGCAAGGGATAATAGAAGCTCATTGCGGGCTGGTCCCCCAAGGAAAGCTGCCCTGGTGGACAGTGTCTTGTTTGTACATGCCCCACCTGCTCTGCAAAAGTATGAGGCAATTCAATGGAAAATGTTCGTCTGGAACAAGTGGATATCCAGAGGCCAAAAAAGAAAAAGAAACCCTAAATCAACACCTTTAATATATGTGAAGCTTAAAAAGGGTCAAAGACCTAGCAAGTGTAAAATCTAAACCTATAATATTTCTAGAAGAAAATTTGGGAGAACATCTTTCTAACCTTTTTATATTTTTTAAAGATTTATTTCACTGGAAAGGGAGACATATAGAGAGGAGGAGAGACAGAGAGAAAGATCTTCCATCCCTGGCTCACTCCCCAAGGGGCCGCAATGGCTGGATCCGATCCAATCCCGAGCCAGGAGCTTCTTCTGGGTCTCCCACGTGGGTGCAGGGTCCCAAGGATTTGGGCCGTCCTCGACTGCTTTCCCAGGCCACAAGCAGGGAGCTCGATGGGAAGTGGAAAAGCTGGTACATGAATCAAAGCCCACATGTGACCCTGGCACATACAAGGTGAGGGTCTAGCCATTGGGCCACCTTGCAAGCCCCAACCTTTTAAATTTTTTTTTAAAGATTTACTTATTTTGATTGGAAAGCTAGATATACAGAGAGGAGGAGAGACAGAGAGGAAAACCTTCCATCTGCTGATTCACTCCCCCAAGTGGCCACAACGACCGGAGCTATGCCAATCCAAAGCCAGGAACCAGGAGTCTTCTCTGGGTCTCCCACGCAAATGCAGAGTCCCAAGGGCTTGGGCCGTCTTTGACTGCTTCCCCAGGCACCAAGCAGGGAACCAGATGAGAAACGGGGCTGCTGGGACACTAACTGGCACCCATACGGGATCCTGGCGTGTGCAAAGCAAGAACTTCAGCTACTAGGCTATCACGCTGGGCCCTTACATTTTTTTAAACAAGTGTTTCTTAGACATGACATCAAAACTCAAGATACTGCCGACAGAGTGAAAAAAAAAAAAACAATGGAAGAAAAGATACTGAAATCAAATACTGGGCAAAGAACTTAGGCTAATAAAAAGGACTCAAAATTTAAGCAACAGGCCAAAGAGGTATTTTACTGAAAAAGACATACAAATGGCAAATAAAGAGACACTCAACATGAGTATTCAGAAATGGATGGCAAACAGAGTGAGACCCACTGCCACACCTGTTAGAACTGGGGTTCGGCGGTGTGTGAAGATTCCAGGGCAGGTGTGTGGAAGCTTGCTTCTGCCAAGGGCTATGTGGATATTTGTAACATCACTGGCAGGCCATTAAAAAAATCAACTTGGCACTTGCACAGTAGCACAGCTGTCTCGGCCTCTACCTGCAGCACTGACATTCTATATGGGTACTGGCTCATGTCCTGGCTGCCCTACTTCCGATCCAGTTCCCTGCTAATGTGCCTGTAAAAGTAGCAGAAGACGGTCCAAGTACTTGGGACCTTGTACCCATGCAGAAAGCCTGGGGGAAAACTCCTAGCTCCTGGCTTTGTATGAGCCTGGCTCTGGCTGTTGTGGCTATTTGGGCAGTGATCCAGGAGATGAAGATTTTCTCTCCCCATCTCTTCTTTCTGTATCTCAGCCTTTCAAATAAAATTTTTTAAAAATCTTTAAAAAGCAGAAAGTGATCAACTTAAAAATTAGCCTTCTACAGATGTATTGAATTTCAAGTCCTGCCTACTGTTGCCTTGGCAGGGCCAGAGAAAACAATTCCACAGGCCTTATACAACCTGCAACAGGACTTTGGCTATCATAGGTAGGAATGCAAAACTGGGTTTTTCAGTTGTTTATGAACCATAACATACTAGCATAAAGTACTTGCAATGCCAATCCAAGATATGCAAATATTTACTGCAGGAAATGAAAACTTATGTAAACCTTAAAACCTACACACAAACATTTATACAACAGCCCTATTTTTAATCACCATAACCTAAAGACAACCAGAATACCATGTTAGTGAATAAACAAAGAACTTGGAAACCATTCACTGTACCATAACTCAGGATTAAAAATGAAAGAACTAATAATACCTACTGCAAGAGAGATTCACCTCAAACTGCATGTGCCAGACACAAAGGGCTACCTACCATATGATTGTATTTCTATTAGAAAGGCAAAACTAGAGACCAAAAAGTCATCAGAGACTGCTTTGGGCTGGAGTACAGCAAAGGCTTCATTAT